AGTGACACAATCACACACAGGTTTGTGCAGCTATCCTTCCCTAGGAATTTGCATTGACTTCCATTCATTGGAAACAGCCAAACCAACTTCTTATCTCTGACCTTAACCACGACCAGGGGGTTCTTCCGTCTGTCACTGGTAACACACCCTGACAAGCATTACCTCCCACAGGTGCACAAGAGCATTTGTGATTTGACACATGTAAAGTTCAAGTTCATCTGTATGTCGCACATTTCAAAAGAAATTCAAGTGTTTACATGGGCTTCATGAAAAGTTGTAAATGCAACATGAACATTTAGAAAGAAATTAAAAGTGACTTTAATTTATCTAAGAGCTGGATGTTGGATGCTGTGCATTTTGTCTTTACATGTACAAGGAGTGTGAACTTTAACAATGAAAAACCAGTAAATTGCAGAACATGCGACAGAATGTGACCAAAGTCAGATATTTCTCTGTGGGCTGTTCAGGTTCGTTTCCATTCACTATGGAAACATGAAGGTTTGAATCTAATTTAAGAGAATTAATGCCTACACTTTTCCAGGAGAGTTTTCTGTTCAGGCAAGCGTTAAAAAAAGAAAGAAAAGAAATTGTCTCTCAAAACAACTGTGTTGGTCATCATTATTCATTTTACTCTATATGACTTTATTGACCCTTTACTTTTATTATCTTAGTCAAAATGAGTTCATGAAGTACTCCGTAATTGTCCATGGTTGTTATACTGCTACATATATTTTACTAACTTAATGCACCTGAATGTACACAATAAATAATAGTTTAAAACATTTAGAGGGAGAAGCACCTCTGCATCGGGCTTTGCAGCAGAGTCCACATCTGCTTCTGAGGTGCCCTTGAGCCAGACACCGTGCAGAAAGTGTTAGACAGGAGAACCCCCCCCCCCCCTCTCTTCCTCCTCCTCCTCCTCCTCCCAGTGAAAACACACCATCATGAACTCACAGATGACACAGGATGACGCGACCAGTCTGTGACGCTGCTTTGTGAAGACAACGCCCCTGGCGGCAGGGGGCTGCAACTGCACCCGGTTGTGACACACACACACACACACAGAGAGAGAGAGAGAGAGAGAGAGAGATGGGAAAATGGATGGACGGAAAGTCCCCGATTGGAAATCCCCTTGGGTTGTTTCCTTAAAAAAGAAAAACTATCGGTGGCGGACATGCGTGCTGCTTTGAAACGCTTCGCAACCTGCGAGGGCTCCGGGCTCGAGCTGGTACCGAGGGGACGAGCGGGTTGAATGGCGCCGTGGACCGCAGCGGTGAGGCTGAGTGAAGTGGAGGACTAGCCCGAGCATCCGGGAGGGCTTTGTTATTACCCCGACATATTACACAGGTAAGGCGGCCGTCCTCCTCCTCCTCCTCTCCCTCCCCCCCTGTCCTCCACATGTGGACACCGTGAAAACAGGGAGGCTGAGACTCGGCGGCTGCCAGCGTCGTGCGGGGCCTTGAATGTTACGAACGTGTGGCCGGGGGACGTGGAGGAAGCTCGGAGCCTCCCTCACGACAGCCATTGTTTACAAAGACGTCACCCTCCGGCGGATCGCCCCCTCCGACAGTCGAGTGTAGCGTCGGGTGCCGCCGCCGACACGCTGTCGGTCCCCGCGGAGCGAGACGCGCTTCGTCGCCACATTGTCTCGGAGGTAGTTGTCATTGGAGTTACGTAACTGGACGTGCGCTTTTATTGTGTTTGTGTGCAGCCTCCGACACCTAAACTCCTCCGGTGGCACTTCAACCAAAGCAGGGGCCTTCAGCGGGTCCTCCAGGTGTTTGGTGTGCGGTCCCTCATGTGACCGAGGAGCCCTGGAGCTTTTGGCCTAGTGTCTGTTGTTGCACCTGCTGCTGCTGTTTGGGCAGCGAAAGGCTCCAGAGGCCACAGGAAGACACGTATCCAGGTATTAATGTCTGCCGAGAGGATGTTACTGCAAGTGAAAGAAGAAGAAAGTCAGCCAAACTCCAGGCCTACATGCTGACCATTACTTTCCACTTCCTGTGAGCTGTTGCTGTGCTGACTGTTTCTCCATTTTGAGTGAAATGTGCCTTTTTTAATAGAGTGGTTCTGAACCTTCATACCCTCACGTACCATCCAAAGGAAAGGTTACTGTAGTGTGAAAAGTATTCCAATAGTTAAGCAACACCTCATGTTCTTAGTGGTTTTAGTTTATCATTCAAACTGAACTTCCCAACTCAAACCAGGAAACTTTACATTTATAGTTTATTCAGATAAAGTTATTTTATAGCTGCTTGTGTCAAGAAAACATAAAACAGTTGTTAATTGGAAGTGTTACACATTTTTAAATGGGATAGAATAGGATTTTATTTTAGATCGTAAAAAATAAACTTCTATCTTCCTAACCAAACAACAGTTATTGAGACCAGTATAGTATTGGCTATGGCACAGGTATTGATATGTGTCAAACAATTCCCTGTCTTGTCTTTATTTTCAACAAACACTGAATCCATGCTGACTTCTAGAGGAAGAGGCCTTGGGGCAGTCGGTGTGACCTTTATCGCAGCCTGGGAAGCCCTGGGTGGCCTTAGGTTGAAGTCTGGAAAACACCAGTTCTGTTGTTGGAGGGCTTTGAGCTCAGTGGGACACTAAGAAGCCCTGTTGGGGGGGGAACTCTCAAACCCTGTTGATATGAAAGAGAGAATTAAAACAACTAACAAGGATGAAAAGGGTTCTTTGTGTACTTTATTGTGTTTGGCCCACCAGATTCTCCAGCAGCCTCCGCAGTGGGATGATCCTGTGCGTTGGGTGATTTCCCGAACAAACTGTAAATTAAGTTGTGTCTTGAGTCTCAATTAATAAGGAAGGGGACTCTCCACTGAAAATTTCCCACCAGTCTGCTGTGTTCTTTTCTACTGTGCACTACTTTGAAATAAAATATCCCCTTCTCCCCTCCTCTCCATCCAGTTTCCACGCGGTCATCTGCGGTTGGTGCTGCCTCCTTCTCTTCTCCTTGTTCCTCGCTCCTCTTCGTCCCCCTCCTTCCATCCACCGGGCCACCTGTCCGCCATGTCGCAGGGTCAAAACTTCCTCCCCAAATTCCTGTTTGTCTCCAACCTGCTGAAGGCGGTGAAGATCCGTCAGCGAGTGCCCAATGACGTGGTGAAGCCGGCGACCAGTGGCGGCCTGATGCACCACCTGCGGGGTATGCACAGGTACACTCTGGAGATGATCGCCATGAACCACTTCCCGCAGGCCTTCAGGGAGGTGGTGCAGGCTGCCATCTTGGACCGAGCCATGCAGGCCTCTCTGGAGCAGGAGAAGAAGCTCAACTGGTGTCGGGAGGTGAAGAAGATGGTGCCGTTACGCACCAATGGTAAGAACGATATTTACGGATGTTTGGGCATGGAGCTGGTGTCTGAAGTCTGCAGTAAACCTGATTTTTTTTGGTTTTCTAACTTTGGTGTGAAACTCCAGGAAGTTCTGAGCACTCAAGTGAAGTTTTTGGGATTTGTGGTTTGTCTTGTAGGGGAACCTGGTGGCAGCTGATGTCAAACTTAAATGCAAATGCAAACTTGATTTCAAGAAGTATGGTGTTCAGCCCAGGGGAGAGTTTAAAAAAAAAGGTTGTTTCACTTTCTATGACACAGGAGATGTGCAATGCAAATTCTCAGATGTCATTACTCACAAGCACGGTTACTGTAAGTGACAACAATTGAGTGACACAGGTTCCATTTCACTTACATTCATTTAGCCCCCTTTTCATTCTACTGAGCTGAGTGTTTAAGGGCAGTCAGCCCTTTGCCAAGTCATGTTTTCTGTTTCGTGGAGGTCGCAACGAGGGAACATCCCTGGGCAGGCAAACATTTAGACATGGGCTTGATTACCTCATACCTTATACAGCTCTGTACTTGGAAATTCTCTGGCGTCACATATCTATTATTTACTGTTAATGATGTTTCAGGCTTAGCTCTTTCCACAGTTTTTCATTTTTACAACCTTTGGGGTTTGTCCCCTTTGTTCTGTGTAGGTGTGAATGTCAGAGGATCTTAAAACATCTCAAATCCTTTTACCTCGGCATCCCCACCTGCCAGACTGATGTAGGTTTACGTCGTTGCCTTTGTGACCATCAGATGGATCACCGCTCAGCAGCCATCGTCAAATCAAATTTGACAAAATCCAACTGTGTCTCATTGTCTCTTCCGACCCTTATCTGCCGACCCTAAGTTTAAACACATGTCATGTCAGGTTATTTTTAGACGAGCGGAAAAAACAGATTTATAAGGGAAACGTCAGCCATAGCAGAAGAAGAAAGCAGAAATAAAGTGGTGTTAAGTTGGTCTTAATCCTGTGAGTTTCCAAAGTATCTTTCTTTCTCATTAGAAGCGCTTTGCGGTTGCAGTTACAAATTTTCATAGCAATCGCATCTCGTAATTTGCTTTGAAAAGTAACCGGATGAGGAACTTGTTCTGTATTTTGTTCCTATGTCCTTGTGCATGTCTTTCATAAAGAGTGAAACTGTTTGCAAGGGGCCCTGAAGTTAGTAATTACTGTCGGAGTTACTGTAACCCTCATCATGGTTCCTCTTCTGAAAGACCCCTGAACTGGTGACAAACTCTTCTGACTTCTGTTACCAGTAAACAGGATGGAATTTCCTGGCTTGCAGAGATGATGTCAGAAAGATGAGACAGAATCTAGAGCTGGAGTGTCTAACTCTGAAGGACCCAGACGTGACTTTGAGCATAGGACGGATAACACACACACAAAGGACTGACTGCTGCTGAGTCACTGGAGCTCAACACACACACACACACACACAGAACGTGGGAGAACAGAAGTCCGTCAATGAACGTCCAGCAAGTGTAGGTCATATTAATCAATCTTCTCTGAGTTTTAACACCATCTGGGACCTTAATTCAACCTTAATCACAAAATCTTGTCCTCAACCCTTCATCTATATGAATA